TTCAATATTTTGAGCATTTTGCGGAGCAACCTCGTACTTGCACTTTTACCAAACTGAATCGATATTCCAAACTGTTGACTCGGCAATTTTTTCAAATTGTGCAAAAGTAGTAACTTGTTTTATAATTTCGAACGCAGGCCGACCTCCGCCGCTCAGCTCTAAACTCCATTTTACCGTTACATTGTTTGGATCCGGCTAACTCCTGAGAGGAGAAACGTAATAAGGCACGCGATGAACATAACTCACTGTGAAGAGTCCTCATGAATCCCGTCGATTAAATGTCGGTCAGCAGTGTTCACACCAAAGTACAATCTAGCAGCTATAACAGCGAATAATATACAAACGCAAAGCCCTCCATGCAATACTGATAAATCTGAGAAGTTGTAGGCAACCGCTGACGGTTCTGGGATTCTAAATTTTATTCAATGAGTCAATTAATCACGCTTAATCAGCGTTGGCCAAGACACTTCCGGTGTGTAGCAGGCAAACGGAGGTATATGTACCGGGACCGCGATACATATATTGGTGTAAGCACAGTCAATTTTTGAAGATAAACTTGTAGACGACTGAAAGGTCACCTCAGCGAACTTGACACACATGACGGTTGCTCTTGCCCCTATCTCTTAACGGAAGGCATCACAAGGTTGTGCTGCAAACCTGCTAACTTCTTCGATTGATGGACCTCAGCGTTCGGTCTTTCTCGAAGCATATCGACTACTTGTCCACACATACTCAACATTGTAGCTGTAAACCACTAAGCGCTGGCCCAAAGTGCTGAATGCATATTTTCCAATCCAAAACAGTGACTAGATTTGGTTGTACATTGGAGCCTCGGGTGACGAGCAGTCCCATCTACGAGGACTTCAGGTAGCGAGCAAACCAATAGCAGGAAATGCTTATCGCTTGAGGAGCCTCCGCTCAGCTAAAGAGTTGTCAGTGCGTCTATGTGTGTACGCGTGTCCGCCGTTGAGTCTTGCTCCCACAGCTCGAGTCCTCGGTCGCCTGCAGCCTATCAGTGCACTGATGCACTTTGATTAGCTACGTTTCGCAAGACAAGCGTTTCATATGACGAGCTCCGGGCTGGAACGGGTTAAATTTGTTTACCGAGGTTCCTCCGCACCCAGCTAGTACACTCTTAGGATAGTGTTGGCTACCTCGATAAGAAAGAAGTCGTCTAGAAAATTTCATGCAAAGCTTGTGATACGGTATATTGTGGCCAAACAGGAAGATCCGTTTCCACACTAATCCACGAGCACCAATTGGCAGTGAAGAGACGTGACCATTTGTCCAAAGTGGTTAGGTATTGCCTTGACAAAGGACACGCCTTTGTACTGGACAAAACACCCATCGTCCGAGCTTGCCCCTCCGAAAGAGGCCGATAATTACTTGCGGCCATGCACTCCGACGAGTCATGCATCCACCAGCGTATCAAGTTGGATGGAGTATGCAAACATCTCAAGGAAAGATGGAAGAGGCCACAGCCGATAACTATAGACCAACATGAACCACAGTTAGCGCCGACACCGGATGACCCGGATTGACCCTGGACCGAAGCAAATTACATTTACCAACTATCCATTACGCCATTGCGACTGCTAATTATGTCCACCGCGATTTGACGCAAGTTGCACCTACTAATTAGCGCCCACACTTGACGACTACAAAACTGTACGAGAACTTTCAAATGTTTATTTTTCTTTGCATATTTTCTCAAGTTTGACAACGACCCATTGTCGACAATTTACTGAATAGAGTTTCCCACTTTTCCCAACGGACGCCTTTCCTGGAAATTTCATTTCTTGGGATGCCTGCCTTCCAGTTCATACGAAACTCTATTTAGTGTTACGTTTGGAGGTAAGGATTGATAACATAGGGGTAGGGGGGTTAGGGTTACGATTAAGGGTCTAGGGTTGGGGTTTTGAGGTTATGGTCAGGGGTGTGTTTTTAGATTTAGCGCTTTAAGTTCAGGTGCAAAAGTTTTGATATTTTTTTGCAGTAGTGACTGTATCCTATAAATACTGCAAACTCCTGTGCATACGCTACCCATCTGCTACTGCTATTC